GATGCTAATCGCGATGAAATACCGAGATAATTGTGTCGTTGTTCACACAGGCGGAAATATCTCGCTAATCGCCGAGCGGGATAATTCTATTAATCGAACTGCGCATGCTCACTGCCGGAATGATGCTCACTGCTCATGCCCACTGCTCACTCGCTTGGAATGATGGGATAGAAAATACCGGGATTATTTGCGCGAGCGTTCACACACGCAAATAATCGCGCTAATTTCAAATAATCGCAGTCAAAAGTGCGATTTGGAGCGCGATGCTGATCGCGATTATTAGTGAGTATTATTGCGTTCACACTTGTAATAATCTCGGTATTTCGATCGCGATGCAAAAACCGGGATTTGCATCCCGCTTATTCGCGCCAGTGTGAACGCGCCTATTATTAGCTCTGATGTTACCGCATTTTAGGTTAAGTGTTGTTTACCGCGGATAGAAGAGTAAATGGTAGAAGTACAAAATCTAATACACATTGTTTTTTATATTTTTTCCTTGTTTTTTTCGACCGTGGTTGGCAGATAAACATATAGAATTCGTATTGACAACGACTGAATAAGAAAATTTTGTAAATCTCACTTGTATTTCTTTTTTAATCCGTTGAAAGAGGATGAATTTCGATTTGGCATCCCGAATTTATTGGTCATAATCTACAAATTTCGTATGGGCGAATATCCTTCACCGGTGCTTTCGTAACGCAGGGATGACTACGTACTGTGAAACACAATTCTGTTATGAGATTGATTAGGATTTATGAGATCACTCAATGACCTTCCTTCCAGATGACACCAGCATCGTTGATTATCTAAACGATTCCGAGTGATCTTCATGAATATTTAGGGTACACGACGACGGACGCTATTCCCGGAAAATTATCATTATTAAGACTATTATAACTTAAACTGCGATGCTATCGTTTTCGCCGTTTGTGATATGAGTCGCTCGTGTATGACTACCCTCACAATTCATGTAAATCGTTCAAAATATTATAGAAATATATCCACACTACATGTCATAAATTCGTAGTTATAAATAACTCTAACGCCACACCTATAATTACGTAGTTCTACTGCGTCACTGGCCAGTGCATTATGCATAGCGCATAGTGCATAGCGCATATAAGTATAACGATCTCTAATTACGTTGACGTATGTGTTTATTGGTAATTACTGTTGGATACGTAGGTAAACCCTTTCCCGAACCAATCATCGCTGGATTAGCATGAGAGAACATGACGCCATTGTGCGCGTTTGCATTCATCAAAACAAGCACGATTGTGAACATTACAGGGTTCTCAAAATCGAACCATATATTTGAACAAGCGCTTCAAAACAAACGCGCAGCGACTTTCGCAAAAGTGTGCGAGCAGTATGACACGCGACGTGCATTCACCTCACCTATATGTTTGCGAAAGAAACGTGCGTTTTGTTGACGTAAGTAAATGGATAACGCGATTTTCTAAATGTCAGTACAATGCAGTGGCTTCTCATCGACGCATGCGCACACTGTAGCCACCTTGCTATAACAATTCACGATTCTAATTCACTGCGATTGCCCGTGTATGCCGGCGTATAACAATATTACCCCCGATTGTCCCGGTGTTATAATACCCAAATGATGGTCATTGATATGATCAGGAGCTTATAAATGGACATTCCATTTATAAGCTCCTGATATGATTGATATGATGTAGTAGAGAATACGTGGGTTGCGTCGGGCGTGGCTATCTATAGTCTAGTAATCTACGTGCATAGAAGTCATATTTCTGTCGCATCAAGACGCTTTCCGATGTGGCGCAGCTGCTGTTAATGACGGCATGACCTCAGTCGAGACGGTTTTGTCATCGCTATCACGGGGTTTTTTTCGTCGGTTTATACGTCGCCGGCTGTCGCAATTCGAACGAATTGTGAAAAGCTCGATTGCGATACATTTTGATTCATTTCAATTTCTGTAACCAGGGCTCAGTATGTACAATTACGCACGTCATATCTAGACGTCGCGGCTACGAATATGAGAATTAGGATTGCAGCTGGTAGCTGACCATAAGTCTATGCTGTTCCAATTACTTGAGTCTCACCCAATTAGTTAATAAGGTTTTGCCAGCACAGCGCTGCTGCCGCCGGCTGTTGAAATATAACATCGACCAGGCGTGGTATAGAAGGTAGGTCGGGTGTAATGAGGTTGGTTGGGGTAGATTATGGGAGAAGGTAAAGGGGAGGTGAAAGAAAACATTAGAATGCGTTGAGCTTTACGTAGCACGCGCGTATATATGTATATACACACATAATTATATATATATATAGATATATATAGATATAGATATAGATATAGATATAGATATAGATAGATAGATAGATAGATATATGCATGTTTGTACATATAACAGGTAAATGTGCGAATGCACACTAGGGCGCGTATGTTTTGGAATTATATAGCGGCTAAATCTTCCGCAATTAAATGAACTCCTTAAACTCGTTTTCAGCTCTGCAGCATTAGCAGAAACCCTGATGGATACTACCATAAGTCAGGACTTGTTGTTTCTCGCCAACCTGATAGTTTAATTGGTGGTTTCATGTGATAGGCCTATTGAACAGCCGAGCCGTAGCTAACTCATTTTGTTTGCCTGTTGTGTACGCCATTGTCCATGTAATAGCATTTACATTGATCTGGGCCACATGCACCCCCATCCTTGCCAACCTCCCCCTACCAACCTCCGCCAGCTACGGCCCCGAATGTACATGGGGGTAGTGGCAGTAGATGTGCGCTTCATGCCTCGATTTTGCACTTGCCAATAATACTAATCGCTGTTGGCTAGTCGGCAGGAATCGTAACGCGCCACTCAAACTATATCTATCGCTTCTATCGCATTCGCAGAAAAAGTCGCCATCAAAATTCTCGACAAGACGAAGCTCGACCAGAAGACGCAGCGCCTACTGTCGAGAGAAATCGCAAACATGGAACAGCTCCACCATCCGAACATCATTCGACTGTACGAGGTCGTCGAAACGCTATCGAAACTCTACATAGTCATGGAGTACGCGAGCGGTGGCGAGCTCTTTCATAAGATTCAGGCGGAAGGCAAGATGGCGGAACCCGATGCAGCTCACCTTTATGCTCAAATCATCTCGGCCGTAGAACATATGGTCAGTATATATTACTATACCGCCGTGCTGAGTGATATACGTCGTGCGTCGGAGTAATCATTCTGAATGATTTCTCCAATGGCGTGCGTACCTGATCATAGACCACTACCTCGTTATATGTGGAATGCTATACTCAATCTCACTCGCTCTTTTTTGGCACATTCGTACGCTCGCGCTTGCGCTAGCACGCACTGTCATTCGTACTCACATGCACGCACACAAAACACGCACATACACACACGCGCGCGCGCACGCACACGCACATGCACGCCCCCACACACAAGCATATAAATCACTGGCAGCAAGAACAAGCCCGCACGTACAGCACACACGCGGCCATTGACTATAATAACAACTTTGTTACGTTGTTATTATAGTCCAACGTTGTTATTATAGTCAATTGCCGCGTGTGTGCTGTACGTGCGGGCTTGTTCTTGCTGCCAGTGATATAAATGCCCGCACACGCGCGTAGACGTGCGTTCGAATTGTAAATGAAATTATGTATTCTTGTGTATTAATAATACATGAGAAATTGGAGAGACTTCATTAACCGGTTTACCAGACGAATAAGGTCAACACACATAATTTATTATCTGTAACAGCTTAATTAGTACAGAAGCTGCCTTCATAATCAATTACTATTTAGATATGCTACGTCCGTATTCGACAGCGTAAAACAATAAGTCTAAAATGATATCCAGAGTAAAAACACATTATTATGATTAGTAAGATTGGCAAATAGTAGTAGAAATAATAATAATCATACTAACAGCTATAGAAGTATAACAGTATTCGAATTGTTATAACTAGCAAATAGAATAGTCTTGTTTCACATCCTAATAACGAATATCTAGATAATACGTAGTGAAATATGAGAAAGTTTCCCCTACCCCACCCCATTAAATCCAACCCCCAGAATAAGCATTTATTTATTGAAATTGTACCTACCCGTCATACAACCTCTTGCGACTCATTGATATAAAAACACACTAAACACGCATAGTAAAATTTGCACAGTCAGCACCACTAGGAAACTAACTAGAGTAGGGAACATCGTAGTAGTAGTAGTAGTAGTAGTAGTAGTAGTAGTAGTAGTAGTAGTAGTAGTAGTAGTAGTAGTAGTAGTAGTAGTAGTAGTAGTAGTAGTAGTAGTAGTAGTAGTAGCAGTAGTAGTAGTAGTAGTATCTGAAAAATTATACACTTTACTGATGAGCGTTACTGAAATCTACAATAATAGCTCGCGTGTAATACTAGCTTCAACAATCAATAATAAAAACACTTAATCGAGTTCATAGCCGCATAGTATAAAACATCATAGAAGCTAATATTTTAAATATATTAGAAGTTGCAGGCACATCTGTTACGTAATACTGGCTGGAGGTAATCTATATGTAGTTATAGCGTGTATTAATAAATCGTATGCCGGAGTAACGACGTGGAACGTGAAAGGTGACAAATGCACTTGGCGTGTATCTCTGAGCTTGTATGAAAGAAGCACGGACAGCACGTATAATTGGGTCTCTAGCCACACGCGATGAGGCACACACGATATAGTTATAACACATTCAAGCTCACGAATAAGTACAGTCAGCTCTAATGCATTCAAGTATATCTCTTTTGGGCAACACACGGTTTCGTTAGACATGCGAACGAAATAACTAGAATCGTCATTCATACCTCACTATCTTTAGCCTCGTACAGTATATATTTGCAGTATGTATGTTATATGTATATATATATATTATATATATATATATATATATGTATATTATATTTATATGCAGTAGGTATAGCTTATCGGCAGTACATGAATTAGTAAAGGACACCCGTACACACGTAGTTACGTTCACGTAGATATTTTCACGGCAGCACACGATTTAGTTAAATATGCGAACGAAATTACTAGAATCATCACCAGTAAATTTACATATTTACCCTCAGTAGTTCAGGGATTAGTTATTTGACATGCGTACACATGAATAAGTTGAATAAGCTATAACACATACAAATCGAATTTCTTTCGACAGTACGCTATCAACTTGTTAGAACAGTATAACCAGAATCATTACTAATACATTATCCATCTTCACCCTCGGCCGTTCACCGATTAGTATAAAACATGCGAATATGTAGAATCACCTCAATTATACCATACCGCCTCAATACATTCATGTAGATGTTTACTCGACAGCGCTCGATTTAGTTAGACATGCGAACCGAATACGTATATTCATTGCTGATGCATTCTCTCTATCTTCTCTCCTCTCGGCAGCACGGCAAGAATATCATCCACCGCGACATCAAGGCCGAGAATGTGTTCTTTGCTGGTCAGCAGATGGTCAAGATGGGCGACTTCGGCTTCAGCACGATGAGTCAACCCGACCAGCAGCTGAACACGTTCTGCGGCTCGCCGCCCTACGCCGCTCCCGAGCTGTTCAGGGACGAGAACTACATTGGCTGCTACGTCGACATCTGGGCGCTGGGAATACTCCTCTACTTCATGGTGACGGGCATGATGCCGTTTCGCGCCGACACCGTCGGCAAGCTCAAGAAGTTGATACTCGACGGCACCTACGTCATACCGACGCACACGTCCGACAGCTGCCAGTTCCTCATCCGTAACGTGCTCAAGCCGCTGCCGACCGATCGCTTCACTCTCGCGCAGATCTCCAACTCCGACTGGCTAACGGGCAACGACTTCCCGTCGGCGCACTCGCCGTACGATCTCATGCCGAGCTACAGCAAGGTGGAGATGAAGGCCGAGGAGCGCGAGGTGACGAACGCGCTGCGTAACTTCGGCATTACGGACGAGCACGTGAAGGAGTCGCACGTGAAGTCGTCGCGCAGCTCGGTGACGGGAACCTATCGCATCATGCTGCACCGCGCGCAGAAGAAGAACTCCGAGCCGCTAGAAGACCTCACCGACGACGAAGATCTCGCCGAACTGAACGAGGCGAGCGGCAAGAAGCGAAAGCAGGGCAATAAGAAGTCGCGCTTCTGCGCGATTCTCTGATCGCGAGCGCCGCGCGCGAGATCTCGCGAGAGACGCGCTGCCGGGGTGTGGGCGCCTATGGTGGGCGCGGCCTCGCCGATTGCAATGGCGGCCGCGTTCCGTGCATTCTTCCGTCCGTGACGCAGAGCGGGTTATATAGGTACGGCGTGCGTTAAATACTTGTCCGAAATCATCTACAACGATAACGCTAAATTGAACAGAGTTTGGCGGATGGAAGCTAGCTTTATAGGACATTCTTAGGACCAGGAATAGGAAGCTGTTTTTCGAACAAATGACGGTGATAACAGTTTCGATTTCCCGTTGAATTTGAGATACTACCACCACGTTGACGGCCCTTACATATGTCTTGCACATATCACATGCCTTTGTGTATCATGTTTTTGCCGAAGGAAGCCTTTGGTTTGTATTTTGTACACACGAGTGTGCTGCGGTAAGGTGAGTGGAACTGCACTCGATTTCCCAACAGCGTTCGAGAGCAGCAGGATGAAATAGACGAAAAATGAACGAATGAACTGATTCAGGTAACTCCAGCATTTCCTACCACTGGCCAGAATTGAAGCTACGCGCTCGGCACACACCGAGTATCGTGCGGTTTACGTTAAAACCCAATCAAGACGTTTGTGATCGATCCTGCAAGCATTAGAGCTTCGCGGCACCGCACATGTTATCGATTTACTCCCCCCCTCGCCTCATTCTACGATCAACATGCACCTGCGCCACAAGGAATAACCTTAGGTTGGCTAAGTGGCCATCGAGTTCGGCATGGTTAGGGATAGCTTTTACCTTCGATTTACGATGCTCTGTATATAGCGTGTACGCGAGTGCTTGCATTACCTCGGCATTGGCAGCCAGTTACGGTAATTGGGTAAAAAAAATCATACTCGATACGCGAAAGAGTCGACTTTCCTAGTGATTGTGTCTCGAATAGGTTGGCATGCTCGTAATGTCACCAATGAAGGTGATCCATCAGCTCCGGGTATGTAAGATTCAGTGGGTTTCACAGGCATCGAATTTCGTCAATGAAGATTTCTCACCATTTCCCTTCTAAATGAGTCCAGCGAGTTTTAATGATTTCAATCGTAAACACAAGGAAATCAAAAATACAGCGCTAATTAGAATAAAAAAATTAGCGCGAGCCGCAGGACCCAAAAGCAATCATGACCAATGTCAATCGTATACAATGATTACATGTTACGAATCGTAGCACGGAGTTCCGTAAATTGTGTTGAGTTTTACGCGATAGTCATTATCAAGAAGGTATCACTCCATCTCGGTCGATAAGTCCAATATTCGCCAATAATACTAATAATTATTACTTGTTAGTGAATATTGAACGTTAATTGTTCGAGATGCAGCACAGTGATCACTTTCCGTGATAGAGACGGCCGCCTGTTATAGGTTATACGTTGCACTTTAATAGAGAATATATATACGAGTTGCGCCGTTGTTTCCACTCAGACGGATTTAGGTTATGTTATAGCGTTCCAAGTTGTAATGTTATAGGAAATATGAGGATCGTGTTACTTCCACTCCGTCATACAGATTTAGGTCTGTTATAAACTCAATACGTTATCGTTTTATATATCGGAATAGGAGGGTCGGTATTGTTTCTATCTCCATCGCAGATTTGAGTGCGTATGACCAGCATACTCAAAGTTATTATTATGGATGCATGATGAATGATGTTTGTAAATAATTCCTTGTACATATGACAGCGCACTTTGCTAGCTGAATTGTGGCTTGACACTAGCGGTCAGATGTGGCAGTATAGTAACGATACGTGGAATCTTAAAGCAACGGTGCATGTATGTCCACAACTTGTATCGGTTGCGCTGTAGGTTCACACGGCGTTTGGTGCAAGCTGATATGTGCAATACGTTCTAGCTGCTATTACGATAAATAACGTGTATGCGCAGATACGTTACGAAATTTTTACGAGCGAGATTACGCCGAGAGTTTGCTACAAATTTGTGCAACAGTACAGAACAGAAGATAATAGTATGATCATACTGTATACTATCACTATATAGTATGTATGTATGAATGTATGTATATATATATTATATATATATATATATATATACTACATGTATGTATATATGTATGTGTATACGTATATGTATACGTATAATATGTATAGGCTATGTATGTTTCTTCATTGCAATAGTAACATGCCTTGTAGGATGCACGACTGGGATATTTCGCAATTAGCGCCAGTCGGTGGTATTTTTGAATGTTTGACGATCGATTTTCGAGAGCGGATGCGTTGCGTGCGTGTACAAAGTGTTGCGATGCCATTTCGATGCGTATCACCACTAGATCACTGTTCCATTGCATCACTATTCCACTGCATCATTGTTGCACTGTATAATTGTTCCACTGTATAATTGTTCCACTGTATAATTGTTCCACTGTATAATTGTTCCACTGTATAATTGTTCCACTGTATAATTGTTCCACTGTATAATTGTTTTACTGTATAATTGTACCACTGTATCATTATTCCACTGTATCGGTGTATCATTGTTTCACTGCATCACTGTTCCACTTCATCATTGCTACACTTCATCATTGTTCAACTGTATCACTGTTCCGCTGCGTAACTATTCATGGTGTACGTGTACACTTATAACCCGTGCAGACTGCAAATTTGATCCCACGTCAAACTAGTTCGGGCCAGACCCGCGCTAAATTTTTGCAGTGTCTACACGCCATCCCGCGCTAAATACGCGCTAGTCCGGACTAATTTGGCACCGCAAATGGAGGTGGGCCAGGCCGCTAAGAAGCGTACTAACTTAGCGTGCACTAAACTGTGTGTGTACACAATCTGGGGCTATGCGCGCGCTGAATTTCGCAATACGCATGCGCATAGCTTTACTTAGGTCACATAAAAGTACAGTAGCTGTCTGCTGAGTGCCGTAACAAGCTAAACTGAGCATGCGCAGTCAACCCGTGCTAACTTAAGCGCGGTTCAACATTTTGTGTCTGTACGCTGCGATTTAGAGCGCGGCTGGCGTGCACCTGGCCCTGACTAGTTTGATGTAGGATCAAATTTTGCAGTCTGTACGGGGTATTATGTTACTCGGTCATGATACGGCTTTCGCTTTCTATCTCCTGCTATTTATTATCAGCCTCTCAGCGGATGATACTGCTATTATGGACAGCTATTTGATGAGAATATCCACCATGGAGTATTCAAGGCATAGGCTAGGCGTGGGTACAAAGCAGATGGGGGGGGGGGGTTAGTGTTCACTATAGACTCTTAATTATAGAGAGCCGTGTGGAATAGGTTTAATGCCTTCAGTATCTTGTCCGTTCGTAGAGATTCATAGGTCGCGTGGACAGCCATTCATGATCCATCTCTCCTAGCGTTGCTTGCGTAATTGTAAAGCGGATTAGCTCATCGAAATGGTCATATTGCGCGATATGTGTCAGAAGATTTTCAGGAACCCAAATAATAAACGTGTACAAAGTTTAGCATTTCTATATTAATGCGCACAATTCGTGTGCTTATCCACCTATAAGGGGTGGGATGTAGTAAAATGATTCTGAATGTAAATTATTTTCGTGTACTGCATTACTTCGTAATGCACTTCAAATCGATTTTGTATTACAATCACAAGGGATTATTCGTATACGACGAATGTCGCACACCGGTCGAGTCTCGTAGAAGAAAATTCTTAAATCAAATCTCGATTAAGATCGCGTAACAGTTAAAAACCGGAAACGTATTGGAACAAAAATTATTAGGTAGATATTATTGGATATGATTATTATGGCCTATTGGATCAGAAGCCTTTACATGCCGATTACAGAATACTATCATTTACGTTCAGTTAGCGTCATTCTAACCCGCTTTAACGAAATAATATTATCTCCGGCGCACCGCGCTGCTGCTATCGGTCAAGTGAACGGCGCGCGTGCGTGCGTGTGTGCGTGCGTGGGTCAGTCTGTTCGTCCCTGTGTGTGCGTGTGTGCGTGCGTGTGCGTGCGTGCGTGCGTGCGTGTGCGTGCGTGCACGCGTGCGCGTGTGTGTGTATATGCGTTCGTTCGTGCGTACGCCTATGGACTTGAGTGATAAGAGCCGGGCGTGAAATACGGGCAGCCAAATTATCAGAATTTCACGCGGAATACTCATAATAGAAAAACTAGTCGTCGAACTTAAACAATCTTCAGTTATTCTCACATGGAATATATATATGGCATTGACAGCTTGCGTTGCGTAATCGTCAGTTAAGGCCTGCTTGTTTGCGCGTGCTTATGAAATGTTGAGGTGAAATTTAATTAATGCAACGCTATGTATAAACGTGTTTCATGAGAAAATGGCAACGTTAATAAAAAAAACATCTTTCGCGGAATAAAGATATAATCAGCTCTAGCACTTTTCACGAAATGACAGGCGATGCGGCGTGCATGCCATATGCAGGTTATATTATTTGCATAGGAATTCATTCACGATCTGTTAGAAGACGTTCCGTACTATGAAGCTGTATATAGTGTATGTTGAGGCTTGTACAGTGTTGACGAGAGAATAACTTTATTAAACGTATTATTAAAAGTATTCACCTTTATTTCTAATTGTATCGGATGTTGTCTAAGTCAATAAGGTTTCTTACTACACAATTAACATTTCGGAGTAATATTCGGGCATTTGTTGAAACTTTTTTACTGAAAGCCCGTTCACAATCAATAGTTACATAGGATGCTTTTGTGTGCAATGATGAAACGTATTTTTGCAAGTTCAATTGTCTCTGCTATACTCACACGCACGCACGCACGCACGCACGTACGCACTCACGCACACTCATTCGCAGCTGCAACTAAGCGCAGATTTGTTTCGTCCGAATAAGACCATGTAAAAGATCACAATAAACGTCATATATGCGTCATGTGTTGTTTCTCAACATAGATGTTCTCTGATTTCACCGCCGCGAGCATAAAGACATCTAGCAATAGAGTGACAATAGCAAGAATCTATAAAATGCGTGAGAATACGCAAAACTAACGTGCACAAACAGGTCCGTTCATCAACATTATCAGAGGCTAGATGGGGGACAACTACAAACTAGCAATACATTTGCGTAAGCTTTGCTGCCTAGAGGCTTAGAACACCCTCGCGTCACCCACAAACACCCACCCTGCTGGAGTAAACAATAAGAAGACTAATATAATATGATAATAAGATCTGTTATTCACTTCCGCTAATGTCGTCTGCTGTCTGTTTGCGTCGTCCGTATTTACCCATGTACTCTCATCGTTGGAATAGCGGCAATAGCCGGGTAATTTTACCCATTCGCCTATGCAACATCGGTTAACTTGTCGCACGATTTCTGGCACACAGCATTGTTCTGTTTGGCTGTCAAATCCTCTTGTTTTTGCTTGTAAAAGAAGTCGAAAATACATAGCCGTAACAACAAAAATATCTTTTGCGTGCAATGCGAAATCTGGTAATCTACCGAATGGTAAAACTGGCTGTGTATTCGGTAGCAATATGAATGCACCGTTCCCAATGGCGCACGTACCAATCGATGGAAACGTTATTGCCGCGTTACATGCGCGTATATGACGGCCGTAGTTATTTGTTTCGCGTATGTCCCTCGTTATATATTTATTATGTACGCACCATCTCATAAAGTTGGTGAGGCATCAGATGAAACCTCTCTATCGTCACAAACGCACGTATTTCCTACGATGATGCTAATAGAATGTCGATAATTGGCATTCGGTTGATTACGTGCGCGGAGGTTTGCAGTCGTTATCCTCGTAGAGGTTTCCTCTCTGTCTTTAACGTTATCTAGACGTCTTTATCGTCGATCGTGCTTCACCTGGATGTCTTACCTGTGTTACACTATGCCGTGACTACGTTCACGGTATTTGCGCGTGCACGGTATTTGCCCGTTCACGGTATTTGCGCGTTCACGGTATTAGCGCGTTCACGGTATTTGAGCGTTCACGGTATTTGCGCGTTCACGGTATTAGCGCGTTCACGGTATTTGCACGTTCACGGTATTTGCGCGTTCACGGTATTTGCGCGTTCACGGTATTTGCCCGTTCACGGTATTTGCGCGTTCACGGTATTTGCGCGTTCACGGTATTTGCGCGTTCACGGTATTTGCGCGTCACGCAGGCTGTCAGCCATATCGATACACGTCATATATTGTGTTAAAACGTTGTTCCAACGTGAATGTAGCCGAGGGTAAATACAGTAGTGATACATGTAGCCTCAGTGTTAATTATTTGGTAATTTGGTTGTGTAATTTGGTTATTTCATGATTGTAGACGGCCCCTTAGCTGTTTAAATAATGCAGCACGAGCAATGACGTATAAGGGAGAAACCCAACTGACTGTATAATGTAACATCCCTATAATATATGTGCATTGTGAATATGTGAATTATTGTCATAATCCCTTATCGTGTCACCCCGGATATAATCATATTGTTGTACGCTCACATAATACACACTGTGCTCTCCCACTATACATCCCGCTATTCGTGGTTTAGTATTTTTAAGGATAGGATTTTAGCGTGTATGCATGCTGACCGCTGCCATAACCGACTGGTCCATATCCATGAACTCCCGCGGCCGGTGTGTATTCATAAACCGGGTAACCGTACGGGTCTTTATGGGGTTTTCTGTCTATCGGGCTGCCAGCTCCGTACGCCCGCTGCGTCGACGACTGTTTCCCGGTATAGGAATCCCTACGCGCCGCCTGGTGGTCATACGTGATTTCTCTGCGTCGATTCGCCGCGACCTCTAGCGGGCTACCTCTTCGCCGATGCTTGGGTGTCACCGGTGAACGGCGGGACAAGGTTTTAGCTTCCATCTTGTCTGCCGTGGTCTCTTGCGGCACGATCCCGACATTAGTCGCGCTCTGTTGATGGCCGCTTCGCTTGCGAATCACGGGCGAGAACGATTGGTTTACGTCCCCACTAGGGATCGCTCTTCTCCGGTATCCTACAGATGCGTCGTCAATTCTCTTTCTGGCCGTCATCGCGCCCTCTGGTGGCCGGTACGTGCGCGCGTGACGTAATCCGCGCAGAGAGTAGAAACCTCCGTAGTTTCCGTCTAGGTCGTTGTAAGGAGTCTCTTTCGGTCTCCCGCTCGTGGCGGCGGCGTAGTTGCCATAGCGCCTGCGTCATCGTGCAAAGCATTAGGGCATCGCATGAATCACATACATTCTTTTTGCGAAGAAAGCCTTGAGGTAATTATGTTGTTGTTGTTGTTGTTGTTGTTGTTGTTGTTGTTGTTGTTGTTGTTGTGCAGCATGGTATACATCCCGCTCATGGGTTTCGTAGCAAACGCTAGGAGTGATTAACCAGTATTTGATATTCGGGAGACACACGTTTCTCACTAGCACGTTTTCTTGATGAAAGCTAGTTTCAAGATAATCTTACTAATAATAAGAGCGCCATTTTCTCCTAAATATAACATACATTGCACATTCGAATATTGAAAGAGTAAACGTTTCATACCTATAGTATGGCTTGGCCACAGCGACGATCTTTATTCCAAATGGTGTTGCTTTGGTTATGTAGCCGACATATTTTATATATCCACCGGTGACATCGTCGTCGTGAAGAATGACGTATTGCGTGTGACGATGATGCGTCCCAAGCTCGTCATCGAATTGGTGGTATGTCACGTGGTCTGTGAGCCTGTAGTCATCGTCGACGTCGGCATAGTCTGAGTACCTGCGGGGCATGTTACATGAGTGAGGTCAAGGTTCATATTGTACACTGTTCTACGCTTCAGTATTACGTACTTAAAACAAAGACGCGTAATTATATGGGTTTTCGGGCACCTTGGAAACTTGCGCCATCCAACTTGTAGCCGGATAAAAACGAACCATTAATACGAAACCTCTGTAAACGGTAGACATTCATATGTTTTATATTGGTGTATGCCCGTGGCAGTGAAACCCTAACAGGGTACATGGTATCATGATAGTATCGAACAGAACAAACACCTGATGGAACACTCGCACGACAAACCTACATTTACAGATAAACAGAATACGTCATGACATAATATGTTATACGTTATAAATATATATATCCGCCACTGTTTTCTACAATTTCGTAATTTATCCTATAAACTACAGTCATGGAAATATTATACTAAATGAGCTAGATACTAGATACTAATGATATGCTAATCTCTTGAGTGTTGTCTATACGTTTCTATATGACCGCAACACACGAAATACGTGTATAGTTTTTACCGATAGTGGCGCCGCTCATCGGGGCCGTGGTAATCTTCTCTGTGCTGCTTGCGCTCGTATTGCTTGTGTGCTATCTGATCGCCTTTATCTATGAATGACGTCCGTCTTTCTTCAACTAAGAAATGTAAGAATGCACATGACAACCGTACTCGCACACGCAGACGCACGGTGCACACGCAAACACACGCGAATGTAAACTTATAGGAACGTGAGCACACAAAAATACACACGAGCAGGTGTAGGACACACGTACGAACCCGCACGCCACGTGTGCAGGTACGCACGCGCACGCCTGCAGACGCACACGCGTGAACGCACGAACGAACCCGCACGCACACTGGCTCGTATTCAAGCACGTTAGCTCGCACACACGCACACACGTTAATTTAATATTATGTTGTTGATATGTGCGCTATCACGCTGTTTCCAACTGAATAGATTTCATTGTTAATAACATTAGCTCGCTGCATGCGACTTCAACCAAACGGTCAACCCTCAAATTAACACGTTTCTGAAGATATACGTATAGACACACGCGTACACTCACCCCTACACACACACACACACACACACACACACACACACACACACACACACACACACACACACACACACACACA